CGTTAAAGAGCCTGAGGTGATCTATATTTCTGGAGTCCTCCACAACGGCGCCTCTGAAAATCATATGGTTTTGGGACGTTGAACGCCACATATCAATCATTTTCTACAAACCAGTGCAAAGCAAGTAACTAAGTTTTGGTGTTTCTTCCCTAAAAAAAGAATTCCACATAGGCCTTGTGGAAAGGCATTACTACAGAGTCATGTATGGCGCCGCCTCCTATGACATCTTTCTGACAATTGTAGGTCGGAAAATTTTTTTCAATTGTCACAGATTGCTCTGTCTGAAAAATTTAGCCGTTCATTAACAATATTACCATTTCTTTAGATTGTGAACCTACTTATTTCGAAGCTTCTGCTAGAAATGTGTTGAAAATGTTTAGCTCATGCGCGTAGTGACTTGACTGGCCTTGCGAATACCTTTGTGACAATTCAATTTTGCTTCTTGACCTATGCAAATAAAGGAATGTGAGTGGCCTGTGTTCGCAGGATGAACCGGGGTACAAATACCTGTCCTGTTCTACCACAGTACGCATTTGATGCTGGTGAATAGAAAAATCACGAAATTGTGTATGTTCGATGTGCTTAAAAAGTAATGTAATCACTGCAAAAATAATATTTTAGAAGCTTAAGGGATGATGTGAAGAATTAATAACACCGGTCGTCCCCACATCGCTGATGTGCCCATAGCTAAAAAGATATTGAAAGAGATTAGGTACAGCAAGGTTACTTCACACATACAAAAAAAGAAACCTAAAAAGTGTCCTAAAGCACATCTGCTTCGAGCGCACCTAGGAGCCTGTCCAAGATGTGTAGTAAGGTAAACAACCGCCCATATGTCGGCGCTCAATAGAAAAACACACGTAGGTCACTGGTAAAGGGTTGCAAACGTTGTATACAGAATAACTTTCACATGTGGAAAAGATTGTGTGAACCGTACTGGCCGCTGTTTCAAATGAGATGCTTCGCGAACGCAGGTACAACGAAACAAGAGCCATCAGCAGCCATCTTGGAATTCACGGCAAACCGTGGGGCTGCAGTCCGGAATTCAGTAAATGTGACGTCTTAGCTACTGACTGGAACCAATTGACGGATTGAAATAATCGATGCCCGCAGGATTGCAGTGTCACAAGATAGATGCATGTCTGGTCCATCCTTCGTTTCATTATCCGACAAAAAAAAATGTGCATCTTTCTAGTGACAAATAATGTTAGCCACTGCTATCAAGCGCTTAACTGATGCTTGCATCGGTGTCCATATATCTTGCCCTTCGTTTTTTTTTCCTGTTCATCATATTGACAAAGGTTTGAGCTGGCAGTCCGCGCTACGTGTTGATGCATGCGAATTTTACTGTCCTTGTCCTTCCAGTTGTTTCGCCTACCTGCTCGAAAAGGCCGCCTGTTCTCAAAGTGTAGCCTCGGGTATAGGAGAACACGGTTCTTATAAAACGAACTTACAGCGCCGAGATTGTTCTCTGTATTCGTTGGCACGCGTGACCGTCTCACAGAAAACCACTTGCGTTAATATAAACATCTCTGTTTGCCACTTTTCTTGTTTTAACGCAATTTCAGTACGTCTTTAATACAGAATTCCTGCCTGAAATTCGTCCTGGCACTGTCTGCTCAGATATACCTTACTGCTCCTGTTGCTTGACCTTGGCTTTTCTGGATAGCTATGTTCTCACGTGAACCGTAAAACAATTACCTACATTGCTTTGAGTCCAGAACGAAGTATCATATATGAAGCTTCCGTTACGTTTTCGTTAGGTAAATTTCTTTTTCGTTTTCTGTCAGTTCTGACACACTGCCACAGGTATGCCGGTATGTGCCACAGGACATTGACAGTTTTTCTACCTAGGGATGGCGAGATCAGCCATTGCAAATATTAACTCTAGAACGTTAAAAGCTGACATTGGCAGCGTTGACCGACGAATTCAAACAGTAAATAGATATCAATACCCCAGCTGTAACCAAACACGAGAATTCTACATGGTAATCAAGTATTCTACAACACATTCATGACAGGTTCGAACACTCACTAGAAAAATACGCTATCGATGCGTAATTGATGTTGGTTAAACCGTAAATTGTGTGCAGTGCAGGTTGTACAATTTTATAAACAATACTTACGTACTCCCATGATACAGCCGTCAAGTCAGGATAATGTCTTTAAAGTTAAGCGCCATACACAGACATTAATTTATGTAGAATCAACCAGGAGGCGCAAGCATTACATATCCTAGATATGATATGTAACGTTACCTACCTCCTTGGGAACATAAATCTTACATATAAGCTTGCCATATCAGGTGTTACCTAATATATACTCATATCTAATATATACTCATGTTGCTGTGGGCATCGTTACGCAAGTATCAAAATATGGTTGTCTAAGACATATATGCCCAGACAAGAATGTTATATCAATGAATAATGTTTTGTTTATACAGTCACAAAAACCTAAGGGACCCTAAAACTTCGCCATTACGAGTGTAACGCATTAGCGATATCCTGTTTCTAGTGCGTACTTTAAACACTTAGTGCATGAAACTTTTTCGATTTTACTATGCATCCACTACATGGCCTTAAGATAATAGGTGCCGTAGCAAGTGCCTTTTGTAGTGGGGTACCAGCTTTCAACGACAGACTCATTATGATAATCACATACTCTGACGCCCGTTGGCATCAAACGCTTGAACCACGCATTATTACAGCTGTAGTAGAGCATACGCACTAACGCGTATGCGCCTTCCAAAGAGAGCTAAAAACCCCGTGCTCTGATTGCGCGAGAACCTGTGCCGCCTTTGCCAGATTTTCCGTACGCCCATTTTACGTCGCGACCTCGTTGCGACTCCTCGGTTTGAATAAACATCATTGCACTGCAATATTTTGTGTTGCATTGTGAAGCATGTTTTCACGACGCGTGCGTTTTTGAAGCATGAAAGCTACTTTCACTGCATTTTCAAGCAGCACCGTTTTCACAAGCACATTTTTCTAGGCGCGGCTGTCATTAAAGAAAAAAAAAACGTTGCTAGGCGTGGCCGTGTAGTAGAACATTCTTTTGCCACGCAAACGACCCCGGTTCGATCGCCACTTACCTCCCGATTTTTTCGTTTATTTTATTTGCATGGTTCTCGATTTATCGGTCACCCCTAAGATGATCATTTTTGTGCTCTAAAGCGGAAACGCCGACGCCGGAATTTCTGCAAAACGAGCTCTTCAACGCTATCACGTTAAAAGTGGCACGGTTAAAACGCTCTTCTTTCACAGCAACGTGCACTTAAGAGAGTAACTGAGACGAAGAAAGAAAAAGAGCTTTTGCGATTTCGGTAACACATTTATTAAATTCCCGAAATTTCTTAACACACTTGTTGAGCTAAGGCGAAGGTGTTCGCACAGAGCAGGAGGTATAGCATACACCGTTGCACATACAGCATTTGCATATATGTACACAATCAAAAAGCGTACAAAATTTACGCACCCACTTGCATCTCAGCACAAATATTGAACATTTCGCTTTCACATTCAGTATTTGTCACACCCAAAGAACGGGACACCGTCGAATTCCTCATAGTAAAACCAGACGTGCCAGTGCCCCAAATGGCACCACAAGTGCGCGCACTTTTCTATCTCAGTTCAAAGCCAGTTGGCGTAAAAATACCAGGAATAGCTGAATTTTGTCAGAAAACACAAGAAACGGATATAATCAATTCATGCTGTTACAGGCAATGTACATGAGAGCACTCCTGAAGGTCTACAGGACGAATATTCCCAGCGAAACAGTGATCTACAGTATAAAACCTTGTATTAATGGATGCTTTAAAAGTACAAATGTATCTTCATAACCACCAGAGCTTGTTGCTACTCAGCAGTTCATGGTTTTAAGTATAATTCTTCTTCCAACATGTGAGCTGCAGCGCCATAATGTGTTCTACCACCTCCCGGGTGGTAATACAACTATTTCTGAATGACGTCATGGCTCGTTCACCTGCACGCCAATAAGTCGACATCCACCAGCAAGTTCTCGAGCTCAAGGTCCGAGTTGGTATTTCATGCAGTACTTTAGAATAACCAGAAACTTCTCGTGGCTTCAGTTGGCAGCGGCCGTCCTGGTGATGCAGTGCCATCTTGTTTTGACTTCGACAAGCTTGGTTTGAAGCCGGCAGAGGATATCCTCAGCTAGGTGGCCGGTATATAGTTGTACATTGAAGTTGGCTATACGAAGCATTCGCGCGTAATTTGGGTAGCCTCACTTTTGTGGCAATGGTACCAGAAATGCTATAGGCTTCGACTCCTTAGTCTGAAGCTGAGTTTAGTGCAAGTTACACTTGAAAATTGAAGCAAGTGTACATAAAATACATTGTAGAGTGGCACCGGGTCCCGCACAACTGGTAAAAAAACACATTGTAGCTCAACAATGCATATATATATCGCGATGACTATAATTGTCTCTGGTATGATCGCATATTGCATTCAAACGATCTATCGCGTACATACTACAAACTATCCATTGCAGTATACTGTCGGAAATAATTATACATTGATATTGTAGACTTTCCCAGTGGTTGGACAGCAATAGTGTTTCCCTGAATGAATACCAGTAGTAAGTCATCTTCTACGCCTCGTAATAACGTTGTAGCTTCAAGAAGAACCCACTCCCATCATTGTTTAGTGGTTACAGTGCTGACCCGAAGGACGCGGGAGAGCAGCCCGTCCTCGGCGGCTCTGCTTTCGGTGGAGACGAAAATGCTTCAGGTCCGTGTATGCAGAACAAGAGATGGCTTAAATTCACGAGGCCCTCTATTACGGCATGCCTCACAAATATCATACCGTCGTTTGGATGTTAAACCCATACAATTACTATTCTACACAAAGCATGCCTCATCCCAAAGTGAAACAGTAGAACAAAACACAACATCACAGGTTCGATTCATCACTAGCCTTAAGGTGCGAAACTGAAGGCAAGCACAGTGGTGTATTTAGATTTAGGTGCACGTTAAGGAACCCTGAAGGGCTCGGCAGTCAACTTCACATATGGGCGGAACAGCACGCCAAAAATAATAACAAAGCCTCATTAAATGCGGTACATTCTCCTCGTGTTCTGGCGGACAGCAACGAGGACTTCCTCCAGCGGGATGCCTCGCATGGCCGAAACTTTCGTGGCCACGTGGATGGCCATCCCTGGATGGGACTGCTGGAGACGGTTGGACTCCTGCGAGTTATGAATGAAGGCACATAAGCAACTCGTCCCACCACCTGGCGTTATTTGCCTATAGGAAACAGTGTTGTTCCACAATAGAAATAGTATTCATGTGTAAGCTATACATAAGTTCAGACCAAGTTTCATGACGGTTGTTGAAGTGGAAAAAATTTCCATGTGGTTGAAGTGGAAAAAAATATTGTAAAAATTACAGTTCACCAATATTTAATCGATAGATTTAGCAGGGGTGAAAGTGCTACACAAATCTGGGTCGATCTCACCTGCTGTGCCAAGCTGCACCTAATGGGCAATTTGCGCGTGCCACGCCAAATTTAGTGTAGTTTTATCATTGACCGAGCAACACACGTGGTCTATACATAAAGGACACAGCCACGTCCACATCGAATGCACTTCAGTCACATCGTATATCAGTTAATGCATGATTATTGAGTCACGGGAACAAAATCAATACACCTTGTTAAAGCGGCCTTTGTGTGCATACGTCATTATGCGGATCTATATAGTTTTAGCAGCAATGCACTTAGTCAAACTCACGGTGTAAGAAAAATATTTAGGTGTGGACACTCTCCACCAGTTCTGACGCAGAGCGCTTCCAGTTAATATCAGGCTCCTTTATTGTGGCAGACTTTTCAATGCTTCATAAGACTGCGGTGCCAGAAGAGCGCTTTGCGATTTTGCAGACATTACCCTAAGTACATGAAAAAAAATCTCAGCCCTTACCATTGCTAATCAATATTTAGCTTTTTAATTTTTTTGGCAATGCTGCTAAACACAAGTCCTTTGTTGGTAGATTATATTGGACCACATGACAAGATAGTGCCACTCAAATATACAAACGCATGAGCGGCCACCAAGCACGATGATGTGGGTGGTGAAGCCCACTAATTGAAGCTTTCAATTAAGTTCCTTAGCGTGTTTCACAGACTTGTTTCAGTGTTCGATTACACCTGCAAATTTCACTGATATTTTTGGGCTATTTTACGAGAAACGCGGGGTATTGTTTGAAGTGACTAACAGAACTTGCGCTATTCATGGGAAATATTGTCTTCAGTTAAAAGTGAATATTTCACTTACGCTCTTTGGGAGGAAGTAGGGTGCATCCGTCTCCAACAGCAGGCGGTCCAGGGGGATCCGGCGGCCAACCTCAGCCAGCGGTCCAGCGCTGTGGAACCCCACCAGTGGAGTGAGGCCCAAGAACAAGTTTGGAAACGTGTCCATCCACTGCTGGGCCTCTGTCCATCCGCCGGTGAAGCAATGCCGGTGGATGGGCCAGTCCGCCGGCATCTCCTGGTTGGTGCAACAGAATAACCAGAATGTTGGTTGGCACATTCGTAAGCCTTGATCACACGTGTGGTCACCACACAAATATTCGGAATGGCGCGCACAGAAATGAGAATTGATGAAAGTTTTCAGGTACGTTAAGTGCTTCTTATAAATAGCAAGAAGAAGCAGTGTGACTGCGTTATCTAAACACGCAACTGCACCTAATTACCACACGTCCTCCACAAGTCATTTTTATTACAGCCTTCCCAAAGGAACACCACAAATGCAGCAGATAAATGTAAGAAGTTATTGAGACGTGTAGGGTATTTTATACAACTAGGAGGAGGCCAAACAAAGAAAACGATAAATATTACTACTTGGATAGAGTTAGTTATACCACACCATCGTGCACACTGCGAGGTTTGGTTAGCATTCACAAAAAGTAGCAATAATGTTTTGTAGCTGGAGAATTCTCAAGGGCACATGCGCACTTGTGCATCCCACTTGAAAGAATTTATTACGCTTGTCTAGATGTTTGTTTGTCAGATATTTGTTGCCCTCGCTATGAAGCGATGAAAAAAACACGCACGTATACCCGTCATATATGGTGCCTAAATAACCAAGTAATTTTCATTTGGCTAGTACGTGTGCTTGGAGCGAAGAATGAGAAAGAGTGGATGGCAGTACCTTCTTTTCATGGCATATGAGCGAATTATGAGCTATGGTGCTATAATGCCATTCCCTAGGGCTATTAGCTCTAACTGCAGAATATTTAAATCAACAGTTACGGGTGTATTTTATTGTGGTTCTCTATAAAACTGATCGAATCGACCACTGTAACACGTTCAATAACCACAGAACACCACAAAAAATAAGACTTAATTCCTTCACTGTTACTGTATACGCTTAGAGGTGCGTTAAATACTCTTCATACACAAGAGAGGAAGTGTTTACGATATTCAGCACACTGAAGCCACAATCAGTGCAAATTTAACAACAGGATTTCATCTTGTCACTTAGCACCTACACTTCGCACTTGAAGCTGGCGATAACTGATCGCGTACAGTGTGCGGCACCCCAATTTCCTTTAGGTGAAGCATATTTTGAATTATAACTGTCGCAAGAAAGCCGCCGTACCTCTTTGAGGATCCGCAACGTGTCCTGCGAGGCATCCCTCGAGTGGATGACCAGCGGGAGCTTGCCTTTGCTTGCCAACTGTAGCTGGCGGCGGAAGACGAGCTGCTGGAGTTTGGGGCCGCAATTGTTGCTGAAACGAAGAAATGTTCCATGAAGCGATGCGGGATAACAGAACACGGTACAGATTACGAGAGTCTTCGGTAACTACAGAGGTAATCTTAATGATAAGCCTAATTGCATTCTTGTGGATACTGAATCTTAATAGGAATAATGGAACTCTTATGGGCTCTCGTAATGGTAAAATCAGTCTTTTTAACACTGCTTGAAAAGATAATATGCTTCAGTAATCATTGGTTTAACAGCGGGCTATCAGAATTTTGAAGGCTCTATAGTCATTCCGTGAAAGCGACCGCTCTTTGTTGCACCGTGTCGAACAGAAGTAAAGCTTGAAAAAGCGGGCTAATCTGTGGTGTGTTAACTGCAGCTAAAACGGACGTGACATATGCGAAACATGTGCAATTTAACAAGCAAGATGCAGCGAGTTAGGTAAACCTATCTGAAGGAAGGACAAAGTTAACCACTGCACAGCATAACTGATCACAACCGACGTATTGCACAAGTGACAGGCACAATAAACAATGAAAACGAAAGAGATGTGTAGTACATAACTCTAAATTGACCACTTCATGTGAGTACTGCTCATTTTATGTACGCCCATGGACGTGCGAATAACGCTTACGCCTTGTACAACAGCTTACGGGTCAGCTCGCTAAATGTTAGTTCTATATCTCCTTCCAAAATGAACTTCAAGGAGAACACATAGCAATTCAAGCTGCATTGCCAACATTTGATGAAACCTGGAAGAGATCACTCACTTGGAAGAATAGTCCAGACCTATCTCTCCAAGCGCGACCACCTTCGGCTGCTCCAGCGCATCGATCATCGCGTCCTCGATGTCTTCGTCATACAGTTTGGCCATGTGGGGGTGACACCCGAATGCGCCCCAGACTCCCTTCTCCGCAAGAAGGCCTCGCCAGACGCTCCGCTGCGTGTACAGACGATGAAGTAGTGTCAAATTCATGTTGTCAGGAGGCGTGTGTGAAAGAAGCTGCAATCATTAGGATCACATCGTTAACATAGTGCGAATATTTTCAGTACGTGTGCGCAGCATCTTTCGCGAGTTGTAAGACACGTTTCCAACAATGGGCGTATGTACAGAGGCCCACTTGAAGCAATACACTGTGTTGATTAAACTCCTGTTTATAAAAGTTATCGTAAATTAGCCGCTCCGGACTGCTAATCAACTTCGCAGTGTGCATCGTCGGATTCGAAGATATATTCCCGACGGAAGCTTACCAGACTTACTACCCCCATATATGTGCGTGCGTGTATGCTTACATCAATAAACATCACAGCTGAGAGTGAAATGACTGGAAGAAAACAAGAAATGAAAGGCGCCTATGTTTAGTTTTCATTATCGCTAGACAATCACTGCGTGTTATCATAAAACTCTGTCATTCCGACGGTAAATATTCAAACAATTCTGCTCATATGTGTTGTCTGGGGAAGATTGTGGACGAGCAATTCATGCGGAAAATGTCCGCGCATGGTACAGCGACCGCCAAGCAGCGCTGGCGAGACGGCTATTGGCGTCGCGCTGCACGCAAGAAACCAGAGGATAATAAAGTCCACGCTATCGCTGACTATTTCTATGAAATTGTCAGTTGTTTAGTATCAGATGCCTGTAGAGAAGCGCACATGTGTATCTCGGAAATCCCACAGTGTCATTGCTGTCACTATCTCAGTCGCTACGCATATGCCAGACCATGTATAGTTCCGAAATACTACTGGATATATATGTGGGATTTAACGACCGTAAACCACCATATGATAATGAGAAACACCGCATTGGAGGGCTCCGTAAATTTTGACATCCTGGTGTTCCTAACGTGCACGCAAATCTGAACACACGGGTCTACAGCGTATCTGCCTTCGAAATGCTCCCAGGCGTCGCCACTGCGCGCTATGAAACGATCGTGGGAGAGTTTCAGCCGAAGATTTTTTTTTTCATTGACATTTCACCGTTTCACCGAACTCCCTTGAGTGAATCAAAATACAAAACTGGATATAAAAGTGGCCGCGTCCTTCCTGTAGCCAATGCTCAGTGTTGCTCGGTCGACGATAATCGGCTATATTTGACAATTTTTACACTTCCAATCTGCAAGTATCGCGAAAATTGCCGTTTATGCGCAGTCTGGCGCAATTGTTCCCGCACTACCACCCCTCCATCGCATGGAAGGCGACTGTGTTAACGTTACGAAGTGCTGCTAAATATATCTACTAAAATGAGGCGTTTTAGAGTGGCACTCTTTTATAAAACAGGAGAGCGGTCAAGACACGTCAAGTGGTAATGGCGGAACCAGTCTGAGTACCTAGACAGCCAAACGTCGTCTTCTTCACCGACTGAGTCATACCCCCTGCCTTTCTGAGTAGCACTCATCTTCTTCACTACACTACAAATACACTTAAAACACAAATTACCCATTCGCATATCGTTTACATGAACACTTGTTTACAGGTGAGTAAGAATGTCACAGCAACATGAATATTGTCAACAGCAGAAGCGGTAAGCCGACATGAAGGAGTAGGGCTCGCTAGGATGGTCGCCCTGGACGGTGTTAAAAAAATCAACTTCAGTGCATGGGGCTTGGTTACAATTGTCGTTAACCCAACGTGACGGCTGTGGCATTGAAGTACATATGTAAAGCTTATGAAATTGGATAGATAGCGAGCACTGCAGCGACAATGGACGTCTCACGAACACAGGGGTCTATTTGAGAAATAGTTCCAAGTCCTAACGTGGGTCTGTAATAGCACACTTGATAACTTAGTTGTAAACTCTCAATCACCTGTGGCACATGACCACATACCTGTAGCGCATACTCGCCCGCGAGTACCTGACACTTGTCTCGTGGAAGGGTTTGACAACGTATGCGAATGGATTGTATGCGAATGCGAATGGACAACGTATGCGAACGGATTTATGTCATGATCGGCCAATCATTATCTATCTATCTATCTATCTATCTATCTATCTATCTATCTATCTATCTATCTATCTATCTATCTATCTATCTATCTATCTATCTATCTATCTATCTATCTATCTATCTATCTATCTATCTATCTATCTATCTATCTATCTATCTATCTATCTATCTATCTATCTATCTATCTATCCTACCGCCTAAGCTAGCGGGGCAGACAACTCTATCTATCCTATCTATCTAGCTATATCTATCTATCTCTATCTATCCTATCTATCTAGCTATATCTATCTATCTCTATCTATCCTATCTATCTATCTCTACCTATCTATCTGTCTGTCTGTCTCTGTCTATGAGACAGACAGACATATAGATGATAGACAGAAATGTGAAGCTCACTCGGACTCACTCTAGAAATATGTTATGCTCTGATAACTCATTAACTTTTTTCTCTGCTGTACTCAAGCTTAGCAACATATTACTCGGCTGAACCAAATACTTTTTTGAGGGAGCCCAGGTTATAGCCGACGCATGAATTCAGAAGCATAGAATTAGCTTGAATAACAACTCTGTTTGTTATTCAAGATTATCCCAGATTATCGGTGGTCTCCAAATTGCCTTTGTATGTTGTTTCTTTAAGTACAAGTTATCCATGGTCTGACTATAGTAAGGACATTTTTACTTAATTAGTGACTCACACCAGATAGTTTTATGAAGAACGTCCGACAAGAGAGACTGCAAGTGTATTGCATGGTAATCAGTCTCTCCTTAACAATGTGATATTGCGAAGGCACATGATTGCTTGTGTAAATAGGCATGTGTAAATAGATTTCAGTATAAACGTAAGCTGATATCAGGTGGACGGTAATGCTCAAGATAAGTAGACACTTCTGAGTTCCTAGTAGTAATCAGGCTTCCCTATTACATCACAAAAAGCCACATACCTTCTTGAAAGTCTCCGGATCGCAGAAAACGGTCACGCATCCTTCGTAGTTGAGGGGGAACGTGGCCTGGTGCTTCCTCCGGAACTCGGAAAACGTGCCGTGGTGCCTGGCTTTTCGGAACAGGAAGTCCAGGTGACAGTGGGTGTCGACTGAGGCCCACCGATGAGGACACCGAGTAAGGCCACTGCTTGGCAACCTGGTCCATGGCAGAGAGGTTGGGTTCCTGTGTACGATCGAATGATACGATGCAATTTTCGTCGTGTTAGGTATATACAGTTCTTAGTACTGTATAGACCGCCTCTGAGAAAAAAGCCAGACTTAGTTCTGTACGTGCTGTCGCTTTTCTAAGTGATTATCGCAACTGCGCTGAGTGGCATACCGATAGGATAACAATGCGGTTACGTTTCGCGGAATACTCTAAACCATTGTGTGTCGAATAAAAAAGTGAATTGCACATAACTTCCAAATACGTCACATCGATCCACTCAGGCATACATCCTCGGCCTATGGGCTGCGTTCACTGAGCACATGGTACCAGACGACACCGACTCACGCTGTGCGGCTCTCCTATTAAAGCGATAACGTTTCTGCGAGCTCCTTTCGCAGAAATTGCGGCGTTGGTGCCGTCGGTTGTGAGCGAGAAATCATATTGTGCGTGACCAAAAAATCGAGAAGGATGAAAGAAAAAAAAGGTGGTTGATGGGGACTTGAGTGTTTTGGAGAAGCTCAGAGAGCAGGAATAACGCTGTTTTGGAGCAGCTTTGGTGAGTAAAAGGAGAGTTTCGGAGCAGGTTCGGAGCACCAAAACGTGTGTTTTGGAGCAATGCAAGTTAGTTATGCAGCAATGTCGTAGGATCACTTATCATCGTCAATCAATTTTTTTTCTCGAGAAAACTTGATTCTGTTCACTAAACATTAAGTACTTAATAATGAGCTCATCAGACTTACGAACCAGGAGTATGTGTGTGTTGCCATTATTAAAAAACCACAGCTGACAAAAAATACTCGGAGAAAACAAGGGAAAAGTGATATGCTGATCTGTTGTTTTCACGACCGTTTGTTAAACTCAGAGCACTCCGCTTGTCGGAACTTTGTTATCCCCACGCTAGCTAAACACACTACTCTGCTATCATGAGATGATCGAGTCCACTGTCTGAGACTAATCAGGAGATGATCGATTCTACGCGACCACTGCATGTTTCAATGAAACTGTCAGTTGTCGCTTAGTATCGGATCGCTGTAAAGAACCACACACATTTATCGCGGAAAGCCAACAGTGTCTGTTTGTGGTTATCTCGGTGACTGCGTATCTCACACCCAGTAATAGTTAAGATATGCTCCTTGGCGTCACCACTGCGCGCTGTAAAAGATCGTGCGAGAGTGCCACCCTAGTCTTTTTCGCACTTCAGCAAAAAGGAAGATATGACCTTTTGGTGAGAGAATGCGTATAGTACACGGAATCACCCAGAGTTACACTGTTGCACTTCTATAGCGACACTAAGCGTACAAAATCTGCTTAGAAATAAACTCAAAGGCTAAAGTCATGTAGTCTAGGGGTTCATGATGTGCTGCACAAGAAAACGGGTCAGGCTAACGACCTTACCAGTATCGGGTACCAGACCAGCCAAAAGTCGAGTTCATCCTAAACTTCGCTGAAATGAATATACCCACTCGGATAAAATGTGTGCGGGAATGAGTGATTGACTCTGCGTTGCGGTCATGCATACGTGTCTTTCAAAACTTTGTATATGAATAAAAAAAAATAAGCACATAGTGTTGCACCTCATCAAGAGACGTTCGCATAGGATAACGGGCAGTGTATGAATTATTCTTTTGCAGGCTTCTTTCGAGGACATATGCCAGAATAAAATGGCGTCTTTGCAGATCTCGAAGCAATGCTCTAATGTTTATTGTACATAACAGAGAAAGCAATTGACCAACGAGACAAAACTCTATCCTGTTTGTAACCAAGCTTTACAGGGCAGTGTTTCAGAATGAAGTTTATAAAAGCATGTTTTTGAACTGGGTGATATATGCATTCTGCCCACCCGTTGCGAGACAACATGGCCTAGAAAATCCACGTATAATGAGCGGTGCAGCGGATGAAGGAAGTAAATCTCTCTATATAGTGCCTTGAGTGAAACTGTAAACAAGTATTTCATTGAGAAGCAGGTTTTAAGCGACCGAACTACAAGGTGAGTTTCCTCGATAAATCACCAAAAACACGGTTGCGCGCAGAGGAGAATAAAAAACCAACAAGGTCAGGTAAGGAACTAACAACTGTAAACTGCAAGAACGTACGAATGATAGGATGGAAACTATCGCGGTGAAAAAAGAATCATGAAACTGTTTGCCATAGATAACGATGTTTTAAACCCTGTCATCCATCTTTAACTCTCCTGAATATGGCTCATGGTGCATGGCTTCAAAAGTATAATTCGTATGAAACTTGCAGAAATACGAGGAGGAAAGTTTCAGCGGAAGGACAGGGAGTTTAACCAGTTTGTAGACCGGCTGACTACCATGTGCGGGGGAAGGGGTGAAGGGAATAAAAGATGATAAAAAGAAATGCTGGAAAGAGAGAGAGAAAAAATACAAAGAATGTCGACAGAGAAAAGGCAAAAATACGAAAGAAGCGTTGCACGCTAAACCTGGCAGAATGATTGAGCTGCAACACATAGTAGAATATTTGATGCTAAAATTGCATAGGAAGCTTCGGCTCGACCGGAAATTGAAAGGCAATATGGGAGAAATGCCCGTGTTTGCCACTCTAGCATAAAAGCGTACTCCTTCCCATAGTATGCGCTGAATCAATACAGCTGAAGTGGCATAACGACATACTTTGGCGGAATAATAGTTAACTTTTACCTTCAAACAAACAGGTAGGTTCGGCGTATACTGCCCCATGAGCCAAACCATAATCTTAAACTTGTTGAGGAGTGTAAACGAGGTCCTGAAACAACACCGAATTTCCGAATTGTTTTAGTTCTCAAATTTTCAACAGTTGGTTTATAGGTACAGAATATTGTTACGTCATTGAATTCTCGAGTACGATTCCATTATAATGTACTCAAACACCCGTTTGAAACAAAGGTCGAGCTCAAGTGACGACATTGGCATCCTTGCTTTACTGAAGACACAATAAAAGCAGGTTTTAGACAGGAGGCCATCACCAAATAAACGGGTCAAAGAATGATCATAAGAAAGCTAACGCCCTTGAGAACTGAGAAGTCAAGAAGGACATGTTCAAAAAGCAAAAGAAATAAATTGTTTACACGATCGAAAGCTTTTGCAAGATCTCCCTTTAGAATCGCAAGATGTTCTGAGAACTGTAGTACTGAAGAAAGCGTAAGCTCGACGTGTGTATTGACCTGTAAGGAGACCACTCCAGTTACGTGTGTCGGATGGGAATTAATTAGGATCGACATCGAAAATCGTAATTGATTTGACAGCACCCGGCCTTGAAAAAAATGGTAATCAACAATCGCCAGCGATATTGGTCTGTTACTCTCAACAAAATGCAATTCTTTTTTTTTTTTCATTTTCAAAGCTTTTCGATGTTAAGGCAGTGCGGCTTTTAGAGAAAGACCTCGGGAGCATCTCCGTGTTGTTGTAAACATAGTTTTAAAAGATTAAAAAAAAATGGGAAAGACATAGTTCTTGAAAGTTTTTTTTAATTGAGTTAAAATGCCATCAGGGCCAAGTGATTTGGATGAAGGTAATTTGTGCATTGCATGCTTGGCTTCTTGTATTGATATTAGCACAATCATCATCTACAATACAGAATTGAGACAGTCAGAACTGTTATTTCAGACGAGGTAGGAGCGTAGGCCTAGCCAGCGAAAGCAGCGACAATGTCCGGGGCGAGCGTCTCGTGCTTAGCACTGACGATGTGTTTTCCGAGCTATGCATGACCCACTACTTCTTCTTTACTTGATTTCTTCAATTACTTCAAAAGAGAAAAAAAAAACAGCCTTGAGATCAATATCTGAATCAACAGAGAGGCCACTCTGTTGGCGAATTTGTACAGCCCCATGGAAAAAGAAACATTCATTGCCCTTCTAAGTCGAATAATGACATTGATGGAATTGTAGGAGCTTGAAGTTGACCTCCCTAAGTGGCCATTTGAGTTGGAAATAACCTCGTTGGTTTTGCTCCAATTTTCCTAATAAGCATACACTGGTCCGAGAACAGAACCGGCTCAGTTTTGCATGACAATTCACGGGAGATAAGTGATGGCGCACATTCATTGAAGGCCACGCAGCGGGTTGATAGTGAGTTCGAAAAGATGCCATGCATTAAGTGTTTGAAGTACGCAGAAAGGACAGGACACCGCTATCGTGTTGAACCCTACAATTTAGGAGAAGCTTCAGGGTTCACAAATTTTTTTCCGCCAACGCCGTAAGTCGGAAAGGATAATTTATGAGATATAAGGACTGCCGCGCGAGAAGAAACTTTGAATTAAAAAAAGGGAGCAGAAGCGGGGTTGTACTGTTCAGCAAAGGTGATCACAAAACCCGTGTGGCCGCAGGAAAGAGCTGTCTGTGAGGGGGAGCACATGGATATAGCACGCATAGAGATGAAAGGACTTCAAGACTGAACGACGTACGTGTGTGTGAGCGTCAGTTAATTACAGCGAGGTTATGCATGAACATCTCGTGTGAAGTTGTTTCCCCTACGCGCGAAAACGCGGAATCGGAGACTGCCGACACGGAGGATCCGAATTTTCCAATCATCACTGCTTTGATACCGGCTACATATTGTCCTGAACGACTCTGCTTCATCATGCGCGCAAGGTCAACAGCCAAAACAAGCGAAGTACGTAGATAAACAATACGCCGTACGAACGTAAACACGTCGTGGTCTTTGAGACGCATGTGCTCGGTAATGACTGACGCAAAACAGCTACTGACGTCACTTAGGGTTCACGCAAGAAAATAAGTATACTCTACCTAGCACAGTGTCTTTACTGTGATAACTAGGCGTGGCAGCACTATCAAAAATAATTAAAAAATGTAATCATATAACTGTACCTTACCTGCTAAAGACGGGGTGTCGAAATCAGGTTAGTCACTGCTCCACCGAGAGTCCACAAAACGTGCGTCTAGGAAACGGTTTCCGATGGGTCGAAACGTGTACCAGTCGGTTAGGTTGGCTTCTCGCACAAGAATATTCGCAGAGAATGTCAGACGAGAGAGCTCCAGG